AGTACTATTAGAGTGTTAAATACATAGTATTCTAAGTATTATAGCTTAGTATTCCTTTCTTTTCTATACGGACTAAAGGTTTAGGACTATGAGCCCAGAAAATGAGGCTCTAGTTTCAGATATTCCTTGTACTCAGTTTGCTCTCAGTCTCTCTTTTCATCAGGTCCCTACCCCTTATATCTCTGAGACAGAGCTGGTTTCACTTAATAAATGTGAGGGTGCTCGTAAAGTACTAATTATTATATATTACCATCAAACTACTCCTTGACCTGGTGTGCAGGCAACTGAGTTGTAGGGAGGTAATTTCTCTGCACAATACAGATTGTGCAGAGAGTTTTCTTTTCATCTTTCGCTACCCCAAACAACAACATAGAAAAGGTCTAATAATTTATGTTACTAAATAAAATTAACCCTTTTCCATTAAGAGCTAATATCGTATCAAGAGGAGAGGACAGTTTAAAAGACCGATGTCAAATAATTCTGTATTGTTCATCCCTGCAGGAAGAATTACTCATCTGACAAAGTGGTTTTGTTAGTTATAAGAACTGACAGTGAAACCAAAAGCATTTTAAAATGAAATTATAAGAATATCATCACCACAGGAGAGTGGATTAAAGTGATTTTGATTGCAGGATTGCAAAGTCGGTCTTGAACAAACTATGCTGATAAGAAGTGTCATTTTTTTCAGCTAGCGGCACTATTAAAGATGCAGTAATCCTTTCTCTTGAACAATTTACACTTTATTAAAAGGTACACATGTAGATTTCTATCTGATTGGTTGTACTGAAAAGTTGATGTAATAATTTAAGTGAGAAAACTGACACATAAGCTCTGGAGAGCTAGTCACGAGTTATCACCTCCGGCCGAGCTGCGTGAGGCCCCTGGGAACTGCATCGTGTACAAGGTGGTTCAAACTGCTCCTCACCTTGGGGTTGGAAAGGACATTGCAACATAACCATATTCATTCCCTTTACTTAGAAAATTCTTGTTAATCTAAAGTGTAGGTAGGACTGAGATGTTGCAACATGAGTGTTTGCTAGGATTGGATTTATTCTGTATTCTTTCAACAAAATCTGATCCAAATCTTTAGGCCTGAATTTATATTTGTAAAGCAGCAATCGCCACACTAGCCAGTCTCTGTTCACTGGAATTCTCTCATTCACCTTTTCTCCCTAAGCTTTTTTTCTTTGGAAAACATATTAACCACAATCTGCTAGATTATTTAAGATATGCTTTTTTTCTCCCCAAAGACTCTAATGAGCAAAGCTAAATCATTCCCATTCTATTCACTCATGGGAATCTTTAGCACATGAGAACTTTTCATGAACAAATAGGCCTGGAAGAAGGCCCAAAATAAGTATAATGTGTATTTTTTTCTTGCATTTCAACAGTACATTGACACTTGAGGATTTTTCAGGATGTTCTTCCCAAGAGGCACATTTTCTCTTCCATTTCATATTCTCTTAACTTCCACTTGTTTAGTATACTTGTCATCAAAAAGATATTACTTTGTAAAACTGAGATTTATTGACAAAAATATAAGCTGTCAATAATAAGCTGTGCTCTCAGATGTTCCTATCTAGTTACCTATGTGTACTGAAACTGCTGCAGACTAGTTTAAATTCCATTTCTACTTGCATACATTGCATGTTAAGTTCAGAGGCACTTTGTAGGGCTTTCTGTTAAGGAAAAGAGACATTAACGAGTTCTTATCCCTTCATTTTGTTAATGGTCGCAGGCATTTTTACCAGCATGCAGGATACTTCTCATGTACAGTTTCCCAAGATAATTTGTATCTGACAACATTCTTAAAAATAAATAGCTAAGGCAAGGATTTTTTAACTAATAGCCAGAAAAAAGACTGTTGAGTTTGAGTTTCCCCTGAAAGATTGGGTGGATGGATGTCTATGCATTTTATTCATGTGAAAATCTTTGAATAGAAGCACTCCCAGTGTGAGAGTTTGTTTTCTCTTAAACAATTATTCCCTTAAAACAATAAGAATTCATGATCTAGCTAAACTCATGACTTGTAATAAGTTATAAGGAAGTATTACAGAAGTTCTGTTCCTTTCCTCTAAGTGTCTAGACGTTCCTAGAAATGTCCGTATTACAATGTTTAGAAATAAGACCCCAAAAGTCCTGTAGTTATACCTTACTAAGAGATCTCAGAGTGCAAAATATAGATTTTATTTCCACTTACAAGAGCTAGTGCAATGAAAAACCTACAAATCTCCCTTCCTCTAGATATAAGACTTCAGCAAGTGGACAACTTTTTGGTTTCTCATCCTGTGAACATATAAGAGAAATGTAGGATATTTGGTTCAGAAGTAAACAACTTTGAAGAGGATGGAAATGACCTATTCATAAACTGCTCAATATAAAGAAAGATAACTAGGATTTAACAAGCCCAGAAGACAACTTTTCATCCTATTTATTGTGAATTCTCTCCTTATTTAGAAATTGTAGAGATGTGCATCTCACTGGCAACTGGTGATAGTCACTATCTGGGTTTGCACTTCTAAATCTCCCTTTTATTTTACCAAATTTATTGAGAGAACTGGACTTGCTTAGCGTAAAGAATAATGTCTAGAAGCAATCTTTAAATAAAAACAGTTGGTACAGAATGAAGAGTTTTCCTTGTCAAGCGCAGTCAAGAAGTAATGGGATAAAAATGCAGCAAGGTGGATTAGATAAGGATTAGAAATGCCCCTCTAAATATAAGGGTATTTTATAAGCATTGATAGAGATGTCCCAGAACGCTTGTAGAGCCTCAGTAACTGGAAATTTTTAAGAACAGATTATACTAGCTGGATCCAACAGACAAAAGGTGGGCTGGATCTGGCTTTTCACCAAGTATAGCGGGAAATGTCTGTACTGGGAGCAAACAGTCTTCACAGTTCAGAGCTTCCTCTTGCACCACCATGTAACTGGACATGCAAAGTGTCCCCAGTGAAACAGGACCTGCAGGTGCTGCTGCTGCCATAGTTCCTCCCAAATGAGCCACACACCTCTGTCGCCCTCACAAATACCCTGTCCAAGTAACAGCAGGGAGGCCTCTGCATGCAACACATTCAGCACAACTTTAGCTAGTACTGTGCAATGCAGAGGGGAGGAAAATGCCCCCTTCCATAGGAGGGAAGCCATCAAGATCTAAGGTGCTGCTGGAGGTCCTAGCTAGCTGGATCCGGGTCCTGAAGATACCAAGGATCACCTAGAACCATGGAAGCTCCTTGCAGAAATGGATTGTTCTCTGGTTTGTCACAATTTTAATGTAATTGTACTTGTTTAGCTTCACTGAGGCGTATTCTGAGGGATACTAGGATGACTGCAGGCACAAATGGAAACACAGAATGACCCAATCTTACAACAGCTCAAATAGTTCTAGCTGGTTGACCAACAAAAAGGCTTCAAACATAAAAGCTTATTGAGACAGTCCAGATGTAATTGCTTTCTGTGAATTAAAATTATTCTCTCTCTTCTAAGGATTCCATCAAAATCTTGAAAAAAAAAGGAGTTAAAAAAGAGTAGTTCCTCCAAGTTTGCAATGGATCATCACCAGTTTCAAAGGTTTTGACTTTCAGTGGTCACGTTTGTGAAATAATTTACATCTACATAGCTCCTCTGATCTTGAAGCATTCTAAATCACTTTACAAATTCTGAAGTATATGAAGAGACTGCCTCCTTTAAGCATCTAAGTAAAGATATGCAGACACCTACAAACTAGAACACAGTAGCACACTTTATACAACCCTTAACATAACAGGACAACATAAATACTTCATTAAAACCAAAAGGATGTTCCCATCCAGTTCAATATCCAGACTGCATTTTAGATAAGCAGAATATCAATTACTTCAGTTTGGGCAGTTTGAGTAGTGTTGAAACCCTGCAGTCCATACCCCATTTAGGAAGTGATACACCACAAGGCCAGGGAAGTGGTTTTAGTTCAAAGTCTTCCAAAGTGTTAGGGAGCTGCCTGCCCATGAAATACTGTCTTCTTTCTCTCACCACTCCAGAGGGCTTTGATGGGCCAAATACAAAGCTTTCCAGGGCATTTTCTGACCTCTTTCTGCTTGGAAAACACGGTGCTTAAATTCCTTTTGTACTCATCTTTTTCTTCTATTTCATGAGATGATATATACTTATCTGTGTGGATCATTGTCCTACAGATGCTGATGTGGAAGACCTCCATTTATATCATGAAATACTTGATATAGTACTTTGTTTTAGTTGTGTGAATGTGCTAGTTATTTTTTTTCCTATTTACTATTGAGAGGCCAATGCAAGCCACCTTCAGTGTGAGATGGTTTGTAAGTCAGTCTAGAGGCTGAAGAGATCATAAAACAGAAGTTTATAGTTAAACTGTGACAATGAATCCAACTGCGGATTTGTTCCAGATTTCTCTAATGCTAGTAAAGTAGCTGTAAATAAAAAAGAGTCCATTATTGGTTCACTGTATCATCTAGTGAGATGTAAATACTTTCAAACTCTGTGTACTAAGAGTGGGTTAAATTGGTTTGCTTTCACATGCAAACAGTTGTTTTTATTGGTGAAGTATATTTATAATCTGTAGCAAAATCTTGCTGCTCTTGATAATAAAAGAGGGCTTTCAATTGAACTGAATAATAGCAAGGGTCAAGTCATCTAAATAGCCTTTAAACTTTTCTTTTATTGTGGTCTTTGAATAAGCAATAAACAATAACATTAAGGAAAAAAAAGCCCTAACTTTCACCTTTTTTAATACAGTAACAATTCAATCTTCATCATAAACTATGTTCTATTAAAGGAGCCCTCTAACTGTCTGTTTCACTTCGCCTAGAAATGGTCTGGAAGACCTATATCTAGCAGGAAGATACATCAGGGATATGCAATAAATGAAATATGCAATAAGAAATAGAAATTGACAGTCAGTAGTTTAAGCACAGCACAGAAAGTGGTGCTGCTACTTTACATATCTTGAGAAATGTATTTCATCTTTAATTCCCCATTTTCCTATTCAGAACAAGTGCTGCCCAGGACTGGTTTTCGAGTGGATTCCTCTGGCAAGTATTCCTCAGCCTTCGTTGTTCTATAAACTAACTGTCCTCCATTTTATGTTTAAGTACTTATTTCTTTAACCATTTCTCTAGATTATGGCCAATCAGCCCAGTCACCATTTTCTTGTTATATGAGCTCTGTGGGGGGGTTATAGAATGCTAACTCTACATCTTTTTGTAATACATTTTCATTTTGAGGAAGGAAAACCACTTCCTTTTCCTCAAACAGTCTTTGTGTTTATTTAACAATACTTTATGTGTGCTTTGATACATTAGTGTTTACTGTCCTACCATTAATAGCATAAAAATATTTATCTATAGCTCAGGCCTAAAGTTTAGTTTAGTTTAAGCATTATTTCACAATGAAAAAAATGAAAACAATTTTATCTCTATTTGCAAAAGAACAGAATTGGTGTGTTACACAGAGCAGAACCACCCATTTCTTGGTCCTATACATTAAGGACTCATTAAAGACTTTTCTATTCCTAGACAGCTTGGACAGGCTTCTAAGTCAAATATGAGTTCGGGCTGGTTTCACACACCCCGTTAGGGTGAATAGTTGAATACATATGTTATCAATTCCTTTTTTATTTTTTTTTTTGTGCTTGCTGGTGTCTATATTTACCAGCTGTATAAACATCAAAAGGAAATCTGTATATTTTTTAAAAAGCTACTAATGTTTGAAATCACCTGACTTTTTTTCAAGCTTTTCACAATTTTCAAGAACATCTGAAGCCCAGAAAAAAGTTATTGTAGATTTGTGTTAATTACAGTTCATGGTAATAATTTACACATAATAAGTAATCCTCATCAGCTTCAAGAAAAAAGTCCAAAATAACTCTTATTTTCAGCAGTAAGTTTGAAAAAATCCAGAAAGACTGTAAAGATCTTATAACAAAGCTCTGCATCCTTGTTTTAATTACAATGTAGAAGAGATTTAATAAAAAAAATAGCATTTACAGTATCATCCCAAATAGTAGGTTTATCTCTATGAATATCACTCAGCACTTCTGAGACTTGAATCATCCATAAAACAAATCTTCAAGTATATATCTGCTCTGCATACTTTCAAGAAACAATTGTATGTGCACTTATCAATGTGCAAGTCATCTAGAAATTAATACAGTACAGAGATGTAACTGAGAGCTGATGTCACATCTGAACCTCTGAGATCTCACTGTCATTCAGTAACAAGGTATTCATTGGATTTAAAGCAAATCTCCCTTCTTCCACAAGGCAGGAAATGGAATTTCCGAATGCTCTTTGCTACCCTTGCTGTGCAGCAATGATAAGATCACTGCTTGTCCAATACCATTCTTAAACTCATGGGAGATCCAGCTGTTTTTATAATGTAGCAAAGTGAATTGGTTTTGTCACTTCCAGACCAAATGCTGCATTAAGTTTCCTTTTACAGAAAAAGACCAAACAAAATACCCTAAATATAAAAAAGACACTGAAGCTACTAACAGTGTAATCTACTGTTCCTTTTCTATTACATGTGTGCAGAGAAGTAAGGGAGAGGGGGAAATTCCTGTGCAGGATGCCTTTAGGATAAAATCAGGCCTTGCAGAAGAAAAGCTGATGTCTTGGAGGTGGGATACATAGGGGAACCAACAAAGCAAACTATGCCAAAAAGCCGACTATACTGATTCAGGCTTGGCTTGACTCCCATGTCTGCAAACCTATTAATTTAGTCTTACTTGGCATGAACTGCAAGGTCTAGTTTATACTAAGAGAGAAAAAAAAAGGTTCATTTTCCACAATGAAGTCATATTAACCAGCAGTTTGCAGTATATTGCAAGCCATAGAAGTGTGATTTCTCTGTAAGTACAGGCAATTTGCTTTGTGCATATGAGCAATTGAAACCTGCACTAGCAAGAAGAGGCAGCGTGTATTTTATCTAATAATCCTTTTTGGGGAAAAAAAGCACCAGAATCATAGAGATAAGCACTGAAGAAATATCAGAGAGAAAATATAATCACTTCCACAGGAAAGAGTACCTGATTAATGTATATGCAGGAATACTGAAAGCATTGGCACATGGTAATAAGGAATTTTAATCAGTCAAGCCTGAGTTTCTGTAGTAAGAACAGCAACTATTAGTGAACATCTTACCTATATTGAGGAAAAGGGAAAAACATATTTGATAGCCAGCAAGACTTCAGCATGCATGTTTTAAAGTAAAGATATGAAAATAAACTGAGATCTCATGTAAAAGGAGCTTACATAAAGTAGGTTTTATCACACTAATCTGGTAACTGATTTTTTGTGCACCAAACAAGTGGTACATATTTAGTCAATCTATCTAAACTTCCACTAGGCATTTTACAGAATGTCGGTCATAACTGATACTCTCACGTGCTAACCTGGAGCAGGGGGCAGGTCCGTATAAAGGCATTACCTATGGAGACTCTCCAGGTGTCTGTGTTGTAGTTGTCTCCAGCTCAGCTGAAAGCCACTTGGTGGAGTCATGTCATCCCATCTAACATGGAAACGGAAACAAGTAGAAATAGCAGAGGATCAAGTGCTCTTAAGTATACAAGTCAGTCGCAGGGGATAATGTCAAATTGTAGTGAAAAAGTATGTATAAGCATGGGGTGCAATCCACCAATAAAAGTGTGGAATGAGGAAGGTGACCTGGTGACAAAGGCCACAAAAAGGCTCAGTTGCCAAGTGTCTTCTTTGCACAGGTCTTATTTGCTTGCTCATTGCTTGCAATATCAGGAAGCTGGGCTAGATGACCCAGGAATCTTTTCCAGTCCTGTGTTTCTGTTGCTTGGTGGGACAAAAAAAGAATTTTTTTTTTTAAAGCATTTTTAATTGTAACAAGGAAGAGTTGGCAGCTAATGGGCTCTGTAGACTTCCAGCTCCCTGACAAGAAAAGCTCTTTGGAGCAAGAATTGCCACACTCAGTTAATCTACAAACTTCCAAAATATGTTAGAGCTCACCAAAAGGAAAACTGTGCCCACATAAGACATTTTTAGCTTAAATACATTCAGAATCAGCTTGGCTTACCTTTTTTCATTCTATTGGTAGAAGGAGAAGCTCATAAAAAATATATATATTTTGGAGTCTGGTGCCAACACTGGTTCGGCATGTAAAGTTTAAGTTCCAGTGTGCTGGGGAATGCACCCTTTGCAATTTCACATTCACTTTTATTAATTTATTCCAATTGTGCATATCAGCATGGTTGCACTAATAAACCCTGGAAAGAAAGTCTCCTTTGCATGTTAGAGCTCAGAAATGCCCGTCCCGCTGTGTCTCTCTATGATGTCCTCTCCCTAGTCCTAACCCCATCCTTGTTACACAAACACATCAAGCAAGGACAGAGCACTATCTTCATACTAAAATTCCTTTGCCTCTGACAACTTTGAAATAACCTTTGCCTTATGTTAATATATTGTGCATACACAAACTTCATTTGCCCCTTTATTGACTGTTGAAACACTTATCAAATAAATTGAAAAAAAATCAGCATAATAAGCTCTTAGGAGCTGTTTTGCTGTCTAAACATATGGGAGGCAAGTAAGTAGGGCAAGACAATACTTTTATTTTACCAGCTGAGACATTTGAGGCAAATTCAGTTTCAGCTTAATATTAGCATACATTTCTGAAACAGGGTGCTGGCCTCCATAATATGCTGTTGTGGTAGTCAAGAGAGAGTTTTCATGGCCCAGTGATAGGACAGAGCTGCTGCAGGTAGTTACGAGTTGCCTTCTTTGAAGACCCGTCTTGGGCTGAAGCGATGGGTCAGAAATGAGTGGAAAGGGATCACTCCCTGGCTCAGATCCACTGAGTAGCATCCAAAGCATCTCCTCTCCTTTAGCATTGCTCACTTTGTTGAACTCATCACCTTAAAAAAGCGAGAGAGAGACAGCAACCACCAGAGCTCATCAGCTGGGAGGGATCCCCCAAACACTGTCGTTTGCAGGGCATCCACTGGCGGGTAATGAGCTGCTGACATGCTGTATTTCAGCCATCTGTAGTCCCTGCCCTCCTAGGGAAACAGGGCACAGTTGGAGGCAACATGAGCAGTTTGCTGAAATAAAGCTACTCATTCCTTCCTGTCTTTTGGGGCTGACAAAATGCTGGCAGTGGCCAAAAGCACTGTCACGATTTATGGCTCAGAGTGCAATTTGTACAAAAGACCATTCTGCTAATAACTGTGCTGCTTTAGGTGATGAGCCCAAAGTGTCTCTAAACATCCTGGCAGAAAGACAGCTAAAGGAGACAATTTATTAGTTCTTTAACTACTAAGAGTTTTATTTTAAATCTCTCTCTTGTATTTTGAGGGCACCTGGGTCCAAAACAATGGGGTTTGTCACATGAAGCTGAAGACCCTTTTACAAGAAGCTAATTTGTAAAAAGCACAGTTCTTTAACCAATATAATCCAGGGCAGAATATATGTTTACAGGCAAAATATGCAGGCATATGGAAGCACAATTTTAATGATTCATAAAGCTTTAATTGAATAGCATTAAGGAGTTCAAATCCATTATGTTAGCTTTCAATTTAAACCCTAAAACTCAGAGGCTTATAATGCTAGCTTTCATCAGAACTCTTTATTGAGGGTATTACCTGACAGTGGAGTACTGCAAAGTTACATTATATAAAAGACATAACTGCTTAATACTTGCATATGGAACTAAAATGTTCTGTGCTGATTATTCATCTTCCCTAAGTTGGACTGATTAATTTTCTTTATCTCCCATTTCAGTTTATTGTCTTTAAGTTTTAACAGACAACAAGGAAAATACAAATTAAATGCCAGAGATGGCTGAACAGCAAAATATGATGCAGTCAATCTTAGGAGGAAGGCATCATTATAACCTCTATTTTGGACAGAGTTTTCCAGTACCATTCTCCTGTGAATGTGTTCTAGTTTGGGCTTAGTGCAATTTACTGAACGTAATCATCTTCTGAGATACCTACATTTTCAAGTGTCTTCTCTTTGTCCGTGTACAACGCATTGTGTTCCATTTGTTCCCACTGGCTCTAGACAGGCTGTCATTAGTCATCCACGATGAACAAAAGTGGGGATGGAAGGTGGTGTAAATTCTCTGGACAAAACAAAAATGCATTGCTCAGCGGGATTTCCCTTTAAACCAGGTCCCGATTACAAGGAACTGGATGTTCACCTTCGGAGGATGGAGTCTGGCTTTGGCTTCCGAATCCTGGGGGGAGATGAACCTGGACAGCCTGTGAGTTGCTTTTTCCTAACTTTCCATTTTATAATTCTAATATCTTTGCAAAAATCAGCTCTGTAACTGAAGTATCGGACATTGAAAGGAACTTAAGAGCTATATATGTTTGTTTCTAAAAAATGTATTTATTTTAGTGAAGCTTTGATATACAAAAAGACTTCAAGGTGTTAGTGAGTATGTCTTCGGGAGCGCAGACAGAGTTACTCAGAATGAATTTCACAATGTAACTGGGGCTCATCACTGGGGACTAATCCTAAATCTATACTAAATCTAAACACTCTGATATCACAGCCTTACATGTAGTCTCTGCAGCCCACCTTACCACCGTGAAACACTCTGTGTATACACGATGTATAACTGGTTGATACATTTACGTATTCTGTATTTAGATTCATACAGAATAATATCATTGTCATTTAAGCATTGACACCAGCAGAGCAGTACCTGAGAAACAAAACTTTCCTCTCTTTTAAAATTATCAACATCTATTGAACTGCTGATAAATATTAATAGTTTATTGATACCTCCTTTAAAAGGAAACAAGTGCACTGGATTCGAAAAGTGTGCTTCAAATGCCAGTTTGAAGGCCTCTATTTAGAATAACTATTTTAGAATAGATTTTCAAAGCTGCACAAGGACTTTGGGATCAGAATAATGCTGTTTCATCCTCTAAACTTGCAGTGCGCTTGAAGTCCCTCCGGCATCTGACCTTCTGCCATGGCACATGTCCCAGCACATGTAAAAACTCATGCCATGCATCTGCTATCCTTATGTTCTCCAGCTAAACATTTTTTCTGTCTTCTCTGGAAGGCCTCATCAAGGCCTTTTGAAGCCAGAAAGGAAATCTATTAGGGTTTAGCATGAACACCACATTTTATCCTGCAAAGAGTGGGAGCTAGTGGAAGATTTTGAAATCTCCCTCTACCTGCTTTAGACAGTAGCATCTGCCAGCACTTTCTCCCTGCCAGGAAAGTGTCCCTGGTCACCAGGCTGCTGCATATTCTGGGGAAGAGTCTCCCTTGGTTTCTCCTTCAGTACCTTTTCCATTACAAATGGGTGATTAAGCAGCCACTAGACGGAGTGGCTGGCTCTGAATTTTGAGATTTAGGACATCCTTGCAGGGAAAAATGCAGCTCAAATACCTTGTATAAAATGGAATAGTTTCAACCTAAAGGAGCAGTAAAATTACTTTAGACTATCCAGCACTCTGTTGGTTAGGAATCGTAGGAGATCTGAAGTTATGTCTCTGTTCAAAAACCAAGAACAGGAATTGGGAAATGAGATTTTTTCTTCCCATCTACAGGCTTTATGCTCCATTGCAGAGGAAGTAGCTCTTTCCAGCTTCTTCTCAATAAGGACTGTTCTTCCTAATTTCTTTTCAGCAGAAGACTGACCTGGCATAACTATCCAAAGCCAGACAGTTGTAGCTGGATACCAGTCACACCGCTGTGCACTCCCTCCAGGTCACGGGTTAGCTCCTTACTATTTTTGCAGGGCAGGACTGAAAATGCTTCTTTGTGTGTAGCACCTTCTGAGGTGCTTCAGGGTCCTACTGAAGAGTTGCTCTCAGCCTGCCCTTACATTCAAGGCTCCTGCCTCTATTGCAGGGCTTGGGAACAAAAAAGCTGATTTGCCCCATACATATCAGTGTAAGAGGGTTTATGTCTCTCCGCAAACCTTGTCTCACAGTCCCTGGGGATGAATGTCAAACCAGCTTGAGACTTTGTGTCCTACATGGCAAAAAGATGCCTCAGAGCTAGGTGCTGCCATGCTGGACTTTTCAGCTCTCTCTTTTGGCCATCTGCTTGTTTTCACAGCTCAGATTCATCTTTAAGAAAGTAGAAAGATGAATTCCACTTTCTCTTTTTGAGTTCCCATCTAGTTTGTGCTACTAGATGAATCTACTAATTAGATATACTAAAGCACAAAACTTTTAAATTCTGTTTTCTCTTCTTCACCGCTCCCCTGCTCTGCCATGGACTGCCCACCTGCAGCTGTCTATTCCTTTCACCTCCAGGAAAGGAGAGGCAGTTTCTGCCTGTCCTCCAAACCCCAGTGTGTCCTATGAAACAAGAACTAAGACACTTTGAAATGTTTGTTTCAACTCTCCCACTGTGCAGCCAGGTAACACAGAGCAAAGGAAGCTTTCAGTGCCTTTGTCTTTGTGCCTTTGTTTCTAAAAAGGAATATGGGTTCTTCAGCACAAGGCAATAAAATTCTCAGAGAGGTAGGATCTGCATAAAGTATTTTTCAAAATAAAGAAATAGGCGCTATAGAAGGAGTGTAGCGTAGTTTGCCTCTAGTTTTACAATCTAGCTGGCATCTTTGAAGGAGTGAGTACTCCACTTTGCGTATTTGTAAGTGCAAAGATGCTTCCTGAAGGGAAGAGTTACATTTGTCATGATATTTCAAGCATCTAAATTGTGGGAGTCTCATAAAATCATACCTCCATATATATTTATCACATCTGTCATTAACTTGAGGGGTTTAAAATAGTCTGGCTATATTACAGTGAATTATAACAGTACATGCTGCTCAGAACCGTCACTGCAAGGTCACAACTGGTTCTTAACCTGGCTTTGTACTGAGGATTATAATCACTGTCCCTAAGGGGGAAAGTATTTTGGATACGTTCATATGGCTCAAACTGAAAATCACAGGAACACATACAGAATTAGACTGAGAGTTTCTCCTCTTCCAAACAGGTTGCATGGGATTCATCTAATTTAAAATTAAATGCTTACAAGATACATGTCTTGATACCTCTAATGATTGGTGTTAAGACATAGACATTTATTTCTAAGATGTTATGAAGTTGTCCAAAAAGCAAAATATTAGGATCAAACAAACCACACCTTAGGAGTTCTCATTTTTCTCTGTGATTAGACAACGAGTTCAGATGATTAGCTTAAATTTAAACTTCACAGACACTCAAAGTTAGGTGAGATGAATCACACCTTTTATGTCTATTTCTCAATTTGACTATGTGCTTGTGAAATAACTGCGTTCTGTCCAGAGAAACTGAATCACAAAGTTAAATAATTATCAAGAATCACAGAGAGTGACTATCAGCTCCAGCACTGAGGTCAGTTCCAGACCTTCCACCATTATTTAGATCAGTCAAAACCAGAAGTAGTTTGGGGGGCTTTGCAGGAGGTATTGATGGCCTGCCATGCTGTGAGCTGCACTTGTGTTTCTCCAGAAGTTACAGATGAACGAATGGTTCAATACTTTGTCAGCCTAGGATCAATTACAAAGAAACTGCAGATAGATAGTAAAAACCAGGAGCAAGTTACTCCCTACAAATCTTCCAGCTGCCACAAGCTAACATCCATTTCCTTCCAAAATAACTGCCCAAAGTTCTTACTCAGTTGAGATTTGCAGATACAAGGTGCTGACTGTACTTTTTGGAGATATATCTAACAGAGCTTTGAATAGTTTTTTTATTGACCAGCAGAAGAGCCTAAATGTTTATTTCATAGCTGGAATTTTCACAAAGCATTTTTCAAAGCTTTGATGTATATTCTTTCCCTGTTTGAAGAACAGAATGGAGAACCTAAAAGAACAGCCCTGGGAACTCAGCCTGGCATGGCTTAACAGGAATCTAAGAATGCCAGGAAGAAGGAAAGGGCTGTACCTTGTTTTCTTTCTCTTACCATTTGGAAGCAAAAGTGAACCAAGCGGAGCTGGGGAAGATCCTCAAGGCTCCACATGGGAGTTTCATTTAAACTCTGCTCAGGCACTTCCAGCTTGGCAGCCAAGACCTTGAGAAAACAAGATCACCTGCATCTTTTGTTATTTAAAGTGGATTGTCATCCAGCATGCCGTTTCCATCCTCCTGTGCTCGCTCCAGCTCTGAGCGAGGCTCACGGAAAATTGGAACACACTTTGCAAATACTGTAATATTCACTCAAAGACTGCCAGACTTGTTTGAATCTGTATTGACTGTACTCTCACTCATCCATGGGAAAAATATATATGTCTTCAGCTAATGAATTACATGAATTTATGTGCATAGAAAGTGGAGAAAGTCATTAAAAGGTTTAGAACAGATTTTTTACTGGTTTATAAGTTCTATACAAATTACATTTAAATATCGATTTGGGAAAACAACATCTGCCCAGAGTAAGCTGACATTTTTCCTCTTTTTCCATTTTGCTGATCGACGACTACCTGAGCAATTATTCATTATAAGTAGCAGCATTTGATATTGCACTTTTTTTTTTCCACTCTAGAAGATCCTGAAGCAAATTCTGTGGGTAGGGACACTTCTGCTAGCTATTGCTACTACTGTTTTTTTTCATCTAGTTACTTATATCACACAGATATTGGGAACCCTATATAAGTAATACATAGATTCAGTAATTTAAGGTCAAAGGAACCTTAATTGCTCTTTTTCTGTTTAGATCTTCCGCATCATGTTATCTGTAGAAATTAGCCATTGCTTAATGTCTTGATTTAAAGATTTCAAGTACAGATAATCCTTAGATCAGGAGTCTCAGGTAGATTACTCTTGCCAGGTGAGAAACATCTTACCTTCTTGCCAGAGGTAAGAAAACACCTTCAATCACATCTGCAAAACAAGAGCATTTCTTTCAAGCACACACAGGGCCTTTTCACCTACACTGAATCACTAACTTAATGTCAACAGAAAAGGGGAATCACTACAATATCCATGGGGCAAAATGTGAGGCTGTGTATGTGCGGGCCCTCATGGTGATTTTTACGGGTTTTTGTTTCTTTGTTCCCTAGATTCTGATCGGAGCAGTGATTGCAATGGGCTCGGCAGACAGAGACGGTCGCCTCCATCCTGGCGATGAGCTGGTGTACGTGGACGGGATTCCAGTGGCTGGAAAAACCCACCGATACGTGATTGATCTGATGCATAACGCTGCCCGAAACGGGCAAGTAAATCTTACTGTGAGGAGAAAAGTACTATCAGCGGGTGAGTTGAGAGGACGGGAGGGGGGAAAGAATAATTGAAATCAATGCTTTTGGCACAAAGATGCTGTCTGTTTTAAAAAAAAGAAAGAAAGAAAAGTGAAAATGAATGTGAATATTTGTGCCATTTGAAAAAAAGGAGTAATTGTAAATATCTGTCCTTCATTTCTGTGACAAAATTGCTACAGCTGAGTGTTGTTTCCTTTGGAAGTGGAAATAACATCGACAGCCCCAGTGTGGTGATCATGAGTGCTCTGGATTTGTCCCATGCTGTCTCAGTCTGTGCTGTCTCCCCTTGTGTGCCCTTTTGGGGCAAAACGTCCACCTAAGTTAAAGCTGGCAGTGTGAACAAGCAATCAGAGAAAGGCTTGAAGACCATAACTGTCTGAGGCAAGGACTCATTTCACACTTGTACATGTTTAAAGCCCATTTCTGGTCTCACTGATGTCATTTGGAGTTTCTCCCACTGACTTCAATGCAAGCTGCCTAAAAACCACCCTGAGCTGCAGCAATGGCTACAAGGAGCAGGGCAGAGTCCTTCCCCCAAGCAGAAAATACTATTCATATAATATGTTAATGTATCAATATATCATATATATTATTCAGAAAATAAAGCGATACAAAGAATCTGGAGCAACTAAAACCTTTAGACTAGCTCAATGTCAATTAGTGAAAAAGACTGAAACTTTGGAAGGTATCTTGCTATTAAAGTTTTAATCAGAGTATCTGCGCCAATTCCATTAAAATCTTTGCCTATTTGAGGAAACTTATTCAGCTGCTTAAAAAAATAAAATGGCTGTGGTCGGTGCACCCCAGCGAGGGATCAGAAATGAGCAAACCCCCATGTCCAGCCTGTCCTGTCGTTCCGCTGCCTCCGCGCCAGCCCCTGCTGTCGCTCCCACCCTGCTCCCCGCTGCTCCGCATCCCGCTCCCGCCGTGGCGCTGCCGGGACTGACTTTCTTCTGTTACTGACTCCAGAGTCCTCCAGCCAGAAAGCTCCCCTTGCACCCGGCGCGACGCCCCCTCGCAGCTCCCCCAGCGCTAGGAAAGTGGCCAATAACCAAGGTAATACGCTCAGCGCTTGGGTGGCACCTCGGCCGGGCCAGGCGGCTCCGGAGCCAGCGATCCAAGCACCAGGAGGTTTTCCTGGGCCTCGGAGTACCACACTGGGGGATATCGTGTGCATCCTTAATGCTTAATCATTCCCAGAGCTGACACAACATATGCTTTATGGCAAAAAAAAAAAAAGGACCAATGTGGGATGTAAAAAATAATTCTACTATATCAGATTTAATGTGATTTTTGCACTAATATGGATGTATACAGCAAGAGTTTTGGGGCTTTCCTTACCTCCCTGCCGAGCAGCTCACGCAGCCCCAGCCACCGCTTTGCACAGACCCTTCTCCAGACCCGGAGCAGGTAACGACCCTCCTCGAGCTCTGGGAAAATTTGATTGGGCAAGTGTGGTATTCTGGAAGACAGGAATTGAAATGCTGTCTCTTCATAGACAGAAACAAAATGTAATTTTCCTGATGCATATCTATGGCATGGTTGACAATCAAATGGCGTTTAAACTTTTCCTCCTTTATCTTAATGCTTAATAGCATTCAGTTCATTCATTTAGGGCCAAGCCAGCCTTGGTCATTCAGCAGGGCAAGATAATTTCCTTTCTGTTGCAGCCACACTGACAAAAGCAGTTTTCAGCTTTCTGAAACATGACAGCCAGAAAATGAGATCTCTCTTGTCACCAATATGGCATTTAGTTGCAGACTTGGTTCAGTGACCTTGGAGACTTTCAATTCTAATGTAGCAGTATAATAATTGTTTGTTTTTCTTCCTCCTTATTCTCTCTAATCACTTTATTTCGTAGTTGCACAAGGACTGCTAAAGGACACACCTGACTGAGAAAACAGCAGCCTGTCCTTGGATGATGTTTATTTTATTAATGTATACACAGTGAAGGTCTAACTTGTAAGCTCTCTTCCTAGGCTGTATGTGTGTATGTGTGAGCTCTTCATATGCTCTGTAGAATGACTCTGCCACTCTCACAGCTGTGAATAGAAAATATATTACTCATTTATCTAAAAACTGCATATTAAAATTGCCATTAAATAATAATGACTTGTGTAAACAACTTAGATCTTGAAGGAATAAAAATCTTCTTTTCATCTGAATGTGTGACTTTATTGTTTCGGGTTTCCACAATGCTTATATTAAAAAAAAATAGTTTAATTCCACAAGATTTAACTTGTTCCATGTTCCTGTTACTATACAGAAGTGCTAAAGTATGGACTCCATTTTCACTTCTTCCCTTTTCAACTCATTCACACCAGAGCATCTTCTCAGTCTTTAAATGAGCTCTGCTTCTGTGACTACACCCACAGAAAATAACTACTTGTGATTATTTTTCATTGTGTAACTGCTCTGCTCCATATGTCCTTTGAGCATGCTGATCAACATGTTGTAAAGAGCATTTTGCAGCTAATCCTAATTACTCTATTTTAGCTGCCTGCTTAAATTCTTTTAATCCAAGCAAAAAAGTATTTTGCATTAGATGTCACATTTTCCTCTAGATGACAGAACAACTAGTAGACAAGAGCATAGTGCTTGCTAGTGATTTTGCAGTCCAAATAGCCACTGCTTCTTACAGCAGTTCCCTTTCCTCTCTTTTAGCTAGCTTAGCAGTGAGTATTCATGCTTGCTTTATTTGATTGCCCTTGAATGCTTTGCATAATCATGCAGATTCCTGACTCTCTGCATCTGTTATGGTTCCTAGATTAATATTTACAGTAGTCTAGGCTATAGACAGTTGACTGTATTCGTGTTGCATTAGCAAATGTACTGTAAGTCGTGGAGCCATTGAGCAGAATGTAATACCGATGTGATTTATATTTTAGGAGAACCGTGCCCAGAGAATGGCAGAAGCCCAGGCTCAGTGTCTACGCACCACAGTTCTCCAAGAAGTGACTATGCTACTTATGCTAACAGTAATCACGCTGTCTCTAGCAGTAATGCTACACCCCCGGAGGGCTTTGCTTCTCACAGCTTGCAAACCAGCGATGTTGTGATCCACCGCAAGGAGAATGAAGGTTTTGGCTTTGTGATCATCAGCTCCCTGAACAGGCCTGAATCTGGGTCCACAATAAGTAAGTAATCACATTTTTCACTTTTATTTTCCCTGTTTATCTTCAAGTAAAAGAAAATGAACTAAAACCTGACACTTGCTTATTAATCCCTGCATGACTGCATTGATGAAAGCTGAAGGGACTCTCCACATCACTTCCAGAGCCATTGGTTTTCTGTTGTGTCTTGGACAAAAGCAAAGGTTATTCTGGCCTCTGAGGCACTGTTTTTTAAACACTCATCTTACTGTCAGGGAACAGAGCAAGTCGTCCATAAAGTAGATTTTCTCTGATCCTCTATCCCAAAGAGACACTGCAGGTAACCAACAAACAATTCCTGCCATCTGCTACTGAATTACACTTATTTATTAAGATAAAGTTCAGAAATTTGCCATGAAATTTGAGATCAAAGAAAACTCCATGATTGAAACTGTTTGGTTGGGATATTAATGAGGAAGCTAGAAAGTCAATTAGAAAGTGGTGAAGAGAGGTTGATCTTTTAGCTGACTGAACTATAGATAGTATATAAATTCACAGAATCACAGAAGAGCTGGAGTTAGAAGGGGCCTCTGGAGACCATCTGGTCCAACCCATACTTAAGCAGAGTGAGCTAGGACAGATTGCCCAGGACCATGTCCAGTTGGGTTTTCAAGGTCTCCAAGGAGAGAGATCAGAGCTACTCTGGGCAAGCTCTTCCAGTGTTCAGCCACTTTCACAGCAAAGGGTTCGAATGGTATTTCCTGTGTTTCAGTTTGTACTCACTGCTTCTCTTCCTGTGGCTGAGAATCTGGTCCTGTCCTCTTTACATGTTCCCACTGGATATTTATTCACACTGATAAGATCTCCCTGAGCCTTCTCATTTCTGGGCTGAACAGTCCCAGCTCTCTCAGCTTCTCCTTGTATGACATAGGCTCCAATCCCTTAATCATTTTGAGGCCCTTTGAGGCCTCTTGGAGGATGGACTTTCTCCAGTAGCTCCATATCTGTCTTGTTACTGGGGAGTCTAGGACTCCACTCCAGATGTGGCCTCATCTGTGCTGAGTAGAGGGACAGAATCACTTCCCTTGACCTGCTGGCAACGCTCTGCCTCATGCTGCCCCAGGTGCCACTGCACTTCCCTCCCACAAGGACTCATGTGGCTGGACAAGCTGGCTCATGTTCAGCTTCTCCTCCAGGACCCTAGGCTCTTCTCCACAGAGCTGTTTGCCAGCAGATGAGCCCCCAGCCTGTCCTGGTGCATGGGTTTATTCCTCTGTAGGTGCAGGACTCTGCACTCCCCCTTGCTCAACTTCATGAGGTTCCTCTCTGCCCATTGCTCCAGCATTTGGTGCTGTTTAAGATGTCCTACATATGTGAGACATCTGATGGGAGTTCGGGCAAATACAATATAGCACCTACAAGAGACTCACACCCTTTTCAAAGGTAGCTACAGGCAGAGGGGCCATTTGGTATTTTGAGTGGCACTAGACACCTACATTTACCCAGCTGAACTGAGCCCCTTGCATGGGGGAGGATTAAAGGCTTTGTTCTGGGAGATATCCACACCTCCCACCAAATCCATCTGAAACTATGAACACGAAGCACTTCTGAAAAATCAAGACCAGGGAGGAGATTTGACAATTTGCAAGTTACAGCCTAATGCAGTCTTTTCCTTGCATTCAAAAGATGTTTTTCGGAAACAGTTCTTTTGCCTCAAACTGGTTCATGAGGAAACAAAAAAAAAAAAAACTACAGCTTTTAGGACCAGACTTCACAGTTCTAAATTCATTAGAGAAAAATGAATAAGAGAATATGGGGAAAGTTATATCTCACAAAAGCAAATAATCTCAGAAAACATCTTCACTATATTTCATGATCATGCAATTATTAAAAGTGTTGTTTTTCATATTACCTCTTCTGAATTTTAAAATACCATAGGATTGCTAGAAATAATATTGTAACAAAACCACGGATAATTAGCCACTTGGGACTCTGAGTCTTCGTTTTATTGAATATAATAGCCAACTTGAAGTTCTTTGCAGAAGATCAGATAGAAAAAAAATCCATAGAGGCCACTGAGATACATGCATATTAATCAGTTAAGCTGGTCGTGAATTTTCGGTTGGGGGAGATGAAGAGGGAAAGGAGAAAGAGATAAAAAACAGAAAGTATGGGGCCAGGCTCAAGATCCTACTTTGTGTCTTACCCTCCAACATATTCTTGTGATGGTGACACCATTTCTGCCCCCAAGCAAGTACATAGGTAGCCACTGTTGAGCCTCAGTTGGACACCCCTAATGAGAATGACAGTCTGCTGGAGAAATGACAAGTGAATTTATTAAAATAACTGTATTGAATCACAAATCTCTCAAAGACCTCTCAAGTCCTAAGTTTAGAAAAAGAGCAATGAACCAAAAATGTTCAATTTGCGGTAGAGAGTGACATAGCAAAAAAGATCCTTCCATATAGATTCCGATCCAAAAATGTAATGAAAAAAATAAGCTGAAAATCAGTCTTTCTCATCAGTAATAAAAACAGGTTAAAAATCATTAGCCACTTGGATTTTAAGGGGTGGAGGGGTCCAGTCTCTCTACCTAATAATTATTTGCTCGGAGTAATTTGGGTATATTAACAACATCATGACAGATATATTGAGGAGAAACACTTATATCCCTTACGCAGCACTTTCAGGCCACATCTAGAATACAACCTCCACTTCTGAGCTCTTCAGTGTAAGAAAGGTATCAATACACTGGAGTGAGTTCAGTGGAGGGCTACCACGATGGTCAGGGCTGGAGCACTGGCCCTGTAAGGAGAGGCTGAGGGACCAGGGCCTCTTCAGCCTGGAGACAAGATGCGTTGGGGGGACCTGACAGCAGCATCCCTACATCTACAGAGAGGGCATCAAGAAGACGCAGTGGGACTGCGTGGTGGGAGGTGAGAGGCAATGGGCATAAGGTGATAGCAGAGGTTCAGACTGCATGTGAGGAAAAGCTTTTTTCTCTGCGAGATCAGTCAAATGGTGGGCCACTCAGGAAGGTTATGTAGCCTCTCTCCATCCTGAGAGGTTTTCAAGACCAGACTAGAGAAAGCCTGAGCATCCTGATGTAACCCCCGAGCTGACTGTGCTTTGAGTGGGAGGTAGGACAAGAGACTTCCTGAAGTCCCTTCCCATCTGATTTTTTTCCTGTGATTCTTCAATGCATAATCTGGAGTAGAAAGCATACCAACAGCAGGAAAAAGTATCGAGTGGACATAGGAGGTATAATAAATATAGCAACATCTAAATATGGATTTGCATGACACCATGCAAGAGTCTTAGTAGACACTGTCTTTTCACAGCAGTGATACTTTAAAGTGAGGAAACGTTACATGGTAATTCTTATGCTTCTGGTTTCAGAGCTAGTCCATTTGTCGTTTGCTCAAGAATCTCCACCTCGCACTTAGAGATGCTCTGCAGACAAAACATAAACATATGCAGTAAATGGCTGGCCTCAGAGCCACTAGTCCTTGGGTTTCCTGCCTTACACTTGGCTCAGGGCTCCCGGGGGACACAACAGTTGGCTCCATGAGAGTTTGCCATGTCAGTGGTAACTAGCTCTGGCTCTGAAGCTACCTGTCCATCCTGCTGAGAGCAACCAGCAGCACTCCAGGTAACCCTGTCACCCCTTCCCATCCTCTCGGGTGAGGAGTGGGCTTATGCCCACTGCCCTGCTCCCACGCAGCCCGTTAGGAATGCTTCCCATTTCCTCTGTCCCACAAAAGCCCACAAGACAGTCAGGAGCTTCCCGGATTTGGGATGTCATTCTGGTTCGAGTATACTCACACTCTTGGCCATGTTTCCTCTTGACAAGCTTTGTAAGGGTTACCTTGTCACTGTTCATTTCCAGACCTGCCTTTGCTTTGCAGAAATTTGCAGCATCCTCTGAGGGCATTTTTTTTCACCCTTGATTGCCTGCACAGAATAAGGGCAGACTATGGCCATAATTATGGAACATATTCTTTTTTCACATTTTGTGATAGGTAGAATTGTAGCTGTCATTTTAATAAATTGCTATTAAGTAGCTTGGAGCCAGTCTTTAGATCAGGACATAATTTTGACTTACTGGTACTTGCTTAAACATCCAGTACTTGCAGCACATTTCTTTTCCTGTGTTCTACAATGACAGAAATTTTCTCTTTCCTGTATCAAAGCATTACTTGAAATATTGTTTAATTCAGCACAGTGGATTATCAACCTACAATTCTGATATGGAGCAGATCAGGAGAGGAAAAAGAGTGAATGAAAAGATTTCATAGGGCAAAGTTGGGGCACAGACAAGGTCAGCCATGCTTCAAAAATATATCAGTAAAAGAAGATAAAATGGATAAATAAAGAACTGTGTCTGAGTGGTACATCCAGGAGCAAATCATTTTGCCTAGTGTGGAGCCCAGGGGCTTTTGGAGCTGTAAGAGATTAAAAAAAGAAAATTCACCTGGCCAGGCTCTGACCTGTTCCTAATGAAAAGATTAACTTCTGTTGCCCTGAATACTATTTATCAGGCTGTCCCTGAGACTCTGTCCCAACATAAAAGGGGCCTTGGCTCTCACTCCCTCACTAGAAAGGCCTCCTAAATTTGACCTTTCTTCATACTTTCTATTGCTATGCAGGCTACCCGTAATTTGTCAAAACTTTGACAACCCCAGTGGTGTTTCTTTAAAGGACTCAGAGTCACTCATCCAGCTGAAGGCTTAGAAATTGCAAACATTAATTTTTCAGTTTTGGTTTGAAGTGGCTACTAACTACCTAACCTCGGGGTGTTCCCAGGCCACTGCATCGTCCTTCAGCATTAAGCACATCTTTAGGGGCCCAGGCTCGCTAGCAGAGCTCAGTGTCCTCATGGAGCAAACGCCAACCTATGGTTGAAGCCCAGTCTTGAGGAAAACATCGCTGCTTCTCCCAGTAAAGGCAGTCGCAGCGTGCGTGGCTCTGCGAGGGAGGGCTGCTCATGAGCCATCTCCTGTGAAGCCGCGATGTCCTGCTGCAGGCAGCATGTACAGGCTGTG